ATATATAATATATATATATATATATATATATATATATATATATATTATAATATATATATATATATATTATATATATATATATATATATATATATATATATATATGCAAAACAACCACTCTGAAAGAATAGAGAAATTCCAAGCGCTTTCGTGACTACTCACATTATCAAGGAACTATGAAAGTGAAGCATCCAAGGAAGCTATATAAGGGGTCGGCCAGCACCTCACTATCAGATCCCACAACGGTTAAACACGTGGGCGCGCGGCGAGCCAACTTGGATAGGTCCTTTGCAAAACTCACCCCCAAGCTATTTATTTGTCCAGTGTATTATTAAATTCTACCCAAATTCTATTAATTATAATTAGATCCATTTATAATTAATAGAATTTGGGTAGAATTTAATAATACACTGGACAAATAAATAGCTTGGGGTGAGTTTTGCAAAGGACCTATCCAAGTTGGCTCGCCGCGTGTCACGTGTTTAACCGTTGTGGGATCTGATAGTGAGGTGCTGCCGACCCCTTATATAGCTTCCTTGGATGCTTCACTTTCATAGTTCCTTGATAATGTGAGTAGTCACGAAAGCGCTTGGAATTTCTCTATTCTTTCAGAGTGGTTGTTTTGCATATATATATATATATATAATATATAATATATATATATAATATATATATATATATATAATATATATATATATATATAAATATATATATATATATATATATATATATATATATATATATATATATATATATATATAAATATATATATAATATATATATATATATATATATATATATATATGTATATATATATATTATATACAGAGAAAGATCGCAGTTAGCAGGATTCGAACCTTCTACAAGGAGACTGGCAAAGTTTTCTAAGTAATGCTGTAGACCACTCATCTCTGGACCAATCCTGCTGACTACGATTTTTCTCTGTATATACCCGCTTGTTACTGCGTGGTTCATTGTTATAGAAATAACTTGTGAGGTCAAAACATAGAGGAGGAGAATGAAAAATCTTAAATCCATGACTGTGGCTCACTGATGTGCTAGCCCGGGTACAGATTAAGATCGCAGTAAGAATCTTACTCTGTATATACCTCAGAGATGTGGGTAAAAATGCCTCGAGGAAGAATGTCTGGATTTTTTTTTGAAGCCGTTCGAATATTCCACTTCCGGTACAACCCCTTCTTTTATTTTTTTTAATAATAGTATATTTTATTGCACAATATGGTACACAATATTTAAAAGATGCATTACTGTTACACAGATGGCATATACAACACATCAGGTTTGAGAGATACCTTTCAAGTGCATATTGCTACATGCTTATCATAGATTACAATGAAAAATACCTCATCTAGCTCCTCAGAGCTGTGATGCATACCCAATATACACAAAGTATTACCCATCTGAACCACAGCGTTGAGTCGCTAAAACAGAAAACTAGCCGTCCTTGGAACCCTAGTTACCATGACGAGTCTTTTGCCTATCTCCTTAAGGAACTTAGATGCACTCTTTCCCCATGGGCCAAGGGTCTCCTAGTCTATGGGAACAAACATATAATGATGAGGAACTTCACCGTATTTTCTAGACTTTTGGGACACCCTGAAGCTGGCAGCTGCTCCTCCTTTCTCTCTGGTGTATTGGAGATAGGTATCAGCGTTGCAGATGCACATGTGTAGTCCCACACTTCCTGCTTGCCACATGTTCAGTCTTGAGGGGTGATACTCTCTGGACGCATCTGGATACCATCCGGTCTGCATAGTTGGGGTGGCACTCTTACTGCTTGGCATTAGGCTGTTGCAAGGCTCCTCTTGATGACGTTATCAACCTCTTCATTCTTTTCAAATTTTCCCTCACAATAGACCGTGGCACTCAATTCGGCCTGCCGATTCACTGCTGCAAATACACCTGTGTTCAACAGACGGTCTGTGGGTCTAGGCGTGTGCCAAGGCTGGAGTTGGGAACAGCCAACAGAAAGTCCCTTGGATGCCCTCATTTTGTAAACAGACAATACACGATGTCCCAGAACCTTCTAGAATATTCAAGTAATGCTCTCTGTGCCAATTAATATGCCTGCATGATCTCCCATATTTAGAATTTTCTGTCTTATAATATCTAGGTCATTCCTGAATTTTTTTCTTTTTCGTGCCACTATTATTATTATTATTATTATCATTCTCATTATTATATTCCTAACAGTAAACCACTAAACTAGTTGTAATCTCCAGGTTGCAATCAACTATGTGTACCTTGTGCTGCTATCCTAGGATGATCGCACATGTGCGCCTATACCTAAATGAACCCCTATGACTACTTCCTCACTACCGATGTTATATCACTCAGGTTGCAGTCTTGTAGATAAGACACATAGGCAACATTTAGGCAACTTTATTCCGAAACGTTTCGCCTACACAGTAGGCTTCTTCAGTCGAGTACACAAAGTAGGCGGGAGCAGTAGAAATGAGAAGACGTTGTAATCAGTCCATCACCCTTGAAGTCGTATATTTGAGGTTGTCAGTCCCTCTGCCTGGAGAAGTTCTGTTCCAAAGTCTGGAACTAACTCCTTACACCCTCTGCTTTGTACTGGACTGATGAAGCCACTGTGTGGCGAAACGTTTCCTGAATAAAGGTTCCCATATGTTGCATATGAAGGAAATCCCTCTCTTCCCTTTCTGTAGCTTCATTTATTAGGTATCTTTCAGCTCTCTTCCTGAAATGGTACATGCTGGTACAGACTTTGACATGTCCAGACAATCTATTACAATATTTTATTGCTGTATAGCAAAGGGTGTTTGATGCCTAACCACCTGCAGTAGATACTACAAAACTGTTCACTTCCCATAATTCCATATAGATTTTGATCCCTAACCTTGGCAAACTTCGCAGCAAGATATTCTGGACACTGCTTTTGGGCAATTTTGTAAACAAAGATGAATCTCGACCATTTAATTCTGGGTGATTTGTAGTCTCATTTTATTGTTAAAGCAGAGTACCATAAAGAATACGAATAATCTATACGACATTGTACAGGACCTAGGCCTTCAGCTGTCCCGTAGCTCGAACGTTAATGCATTCAGCTCACACTCTGAGCTCCGGGGTAGATTCCCATTACGGTTGGAAACATTAGAAGGTGTTTCCTTAAGACACATGCTATCTATGTTCATCTATCAGTAAAATAGGTACCTGAGTGTTAGTCGTCTTATGCGGGTCGCATTCTGGGGAAAATATTGACCTAATTTGCGAGAAATGCTCTGCATATATAGTAACGTCATTGATATCACCTAGGTCTGTATACCTTGTACATGTACTTGTAGAAATAAAGATTATTATTATTATTATTATTATTATTATTATTATTATTATTATTATTATTATTATTATTATTATAGGATCGTGTGAGCCCTGGCATTGGCCTGATTTACTTCATTGTACATTATCAAATTTCCTGATATCCTTGAGTCAAAAGAAATTCCCAGATATTTCCTAGAAGGTACTGAAGTGGTAAGTTCCCTATTTCGCTGGACATTAAAAGCATTTACCCATTTTCGTTTACTTTTCTTGCCAAAGAGTACAGCTTCTGTTTTCCCGAGGTGTTATGTCTAGTTTGTTGTCTACTAACCATTTGCTGCAGGACTCTTCTTCTAGTGATACTTCGTTAGCTATATGCCATGAGTCTTTACTGGATACTAGTGGAGCACTATCGTCTACATACAACTGAAGCCTACACTTGGCACTGATTCGCATGTCATTCACATAACATGAAAATAATGAGCAACCAAGAATACTACCTTGGGGAGCCCCACATCATATCGTCAGGGGTTCTGAGTCTGTAATTTTTTATCTTGACAATTTGTTCCCGGTTCCAGAGGTGAGATTTAAAGCTGTGTACTGAGCGTGTACCTATAGTTTGCAGTTTCTTGCATAATATATTAAGGTAAACTGTATCAAATGACTTTTGGAAGTCTAGGGTCATCATGCCTATGAGACTCCATAGCTATATTTAAGTTCTCAGGTATCTCATTGGATTAATTAGGTAAGTATTGGTCGAGTAATATCTCCTGAAACCTAACTGGTAACTGTGGAGTATGTTTTTGTCAACGTTTCAGCTTGCTCCTTTGTGGTATTACATCAGGTGATTTTAAGAGTAACCCCATTGTTATTTACCATTTCAAGACTCCTCGTGTTATTAAAGATGTAGAGAAAACAACCTTAATAGTAATCCGGAGGTTAAACCAGTCAGCATGGATTACCGAGGAATTATTTATTGATTAGTTAAAGCGTCAATTTATTTGTGAAGTCATGATTCACCTGCGAAGCAGGAACCTTTCATTCAAGGTTCTCTGCACTTTGATAATTCTCATATTCATCCAAAATCTTTGTTCGATGTGTACCTAAATGTAAAGGTTGTATTTCTACCTCAAATTACAGCATCTTTAATTCAACCAATGGACCGTGGAGTTATTAGGTTATTCAGTGTAACCACACATAAAACTGATGGAGAAACTTGTTGCATCAATGGACACTGATTTCGACCTTGCAGTATTAAACATTTGGTATAAATTAACATTAAAGATACCTTTAGCTATCTTAGAAGTACATGAATTGAAGTGTCCTAATCAACACTAGGTACAGCCTGGGAAAAGTTGAGGCTTAGAGTGTTGAATACTTGCACAGGTTTACCCTCACTTGAGAGTCAGATGCAGGAAATAGTTCAGCTGGCAAGGAGATTACCAGGTGATGGCTTTGAAGATATACAGCAAGATGATCACAAAGATATACAGCAAGATTATGTGAAAATGCTCTTAGAAGATGATCACAAAGATATGAAGCAAGATTATGTGAAGATGCTCTTAGAAGATGATCACAAAGATATGAAGCAAGATTATGTGAAGATGCTCTTAGAAGATGATCACAAAGATATACGTCCAGAGGAAACCATGACAAAGCTCAATGAGCAGATAAAATAGAGGTAGATAACAGAGGAAGATGGGAAGAAGAGCCTCAAAAAAAAAAAAAAAACAGTTAACACTACAACAGTTATATGAGTGCCTCCATGTTACTGGTAAACTTGCAGATTGTTTCACTGAAGAGAACCCTGACAAATCTAGAAGTACTGCTCAGAGAAAGGACCTGGAGCAGCTTGTTATGCCTTATTGTCAGCTGTATAAACTAAGGCCGGTAAGAGACCACAAACTCATTTCAGAATTCCTCACTTTTCCATTAAAACCACTGAAGTGGAGGAGCCTGAACTATCAACCTCACCTGACAATCCACAACCATCCACCTCAGCTGACAATATACTACTATCAACCTCACCTGACAATATACTACCATCCACCTCAGATGACAATATACTACCATCCACCTCAGATGACAATATACTACCATCCACCTCAGATGACAATATACTACCATCCACCTCAGATGACAATATACTACCATCCACCTCAGATGACAATATACTACCATCCACCTCAGATGACAATATACTACCATCCACCTCAGCTGACAATATACTACCATCCACCTCAGATGACAATATACTACCATCCACCTCAGATGACAATATACTACCATCCACCTCAGATGACAATATACTACCATCCACCTCAGATGACAATATACTACCATCCACCTCAGATGACAATATACTACCATCCACCTCAGATGACAATATACTACCATCCACCTCAGCTGACAATATACTACCATCCACCTCAGATGACAATATACTACCATCCACCTCTGCTGACAATATACTACCATCCACCTCAGCTGACAATATACTACCATCCACCTCTGCTGACAATATACTACCATCCACCTCAGCTGACAATATACTACCATCCACCTCAGATGACAATATACTACCATCCACCTCAGATGACAATATACTACCATCCACCTCTGCTGACAATATACTACCATCCACCTCAGCTGACAATATACTACCATCCACCTCAGATGACAATATACTACCATCCACCTCAGATGACAATATACTACCATCCACCTCAGATGACAATATACTACCATCCACCTCAGCTGACAATATACTACCATCCACCTCATCTGACAATATACTACCATCCACCTCAGATCGGTAAGGCCTCAGTATCCCTCTCCATTCTCTTCAAATTCATTACTATGCACCAGCAAGCACAATGAAAGGTAACAAATATCATATCTGTAACATGTACAGCCTTAACCAATACATTAAGCATGATACATCTCGTCAAACACCTACAATTAAATTATCATTTTTATTTGTTTACAATTTGGAGAACAAAAAAATGTTTACAAAATTTTGGAGAGAATGGAATATAACCCTATTTTTCGAATATGTTCTACAGTTTATTTTGGACTATTTTATGTTTAAACGCCTTTTGAAAGGACGTAACTACCTTCGTAATCGACGGTCAACTATATATATATATATATATATATATATATATATATATATATATATATATATATATATATATATATATATATATATATATATATATATATATAGTATATATATATATATATATAATATATATATATATATATATATATATATATATATATATATATATATATATATATATATAAATATATATATAGTATATAATATAGTATATAATATATATATGTATATATATATAATATATATAGTAATATATATATAGTAATATATAGTCCCACTGAAAACGAGAAAATTTGCGCACAGGTTAGCAAAAAAATTGAAGAAGGTAACAAAGTGGGAGCAATAAGAATAATTACAAGTGACGACACTGTAGCCCCCAAAGATGAGACCACAGCGCAAGCACTAAGAGACAAGCATCCAACCAGGGACACCATAGCCATCAACAACAACCCTGAGGAAGACCCCATCACTGAACAATTAATTTTGCCTGAATCGGAAGTCTATAAGGCGATTGTGTCATTTCCTGCAGGATCTGCAGGAGGTTACACGGGAATTGGACCTCAGCACCTCAAGGAGATGGTAAATCCAGTACTCGGTGCATCTGCATCACTTCTTCTCACCGAGTTAACAACTTTCGTCAACAACTGCCTGGCTGGGCGAATCCCAGAAGAAATTAAACCTTTCTTTTTTTGGAGCCTCACTGTGTGCCTTGAAGAAGAAGGATGGGGGAATCAGACCCATTGCGGTTGGAAACACTCTTCGCCGTCTCGTTGCCAAAGCAGCAGTAAGAAACATTCGCCTAGAAGCTGCCAGTTTACTCCATCCACACCAACTGGGCTTTGGGGTCCCTCTAGGCAGTGAAGCTGCAGCTCATGCGGCAAGGGCCTACATCAGAGACCTACCAGAAGACAAGGCCATAGTCAAACTTGATTTTAGAAATGCCTTTAATATGGTAAAGAGAGATGCTGTCTTGCCAGCTGTTCGGGATCGCTTCCCCAGTCTTTTTCCGTTCATTTCAGCCGGCTACAGAAAACCCTCAATTCTTTTGTTTGGAGAACATGAAATTCTCTCATCAGAAGGTGTTCAGCAGGGTGACCCAGTCGCTCCACTTCTCTTCTGCTTGGCAGTAAGAGAACTAACTTCCAGCCTACGCAGCGAGCTCAACATCTGGTACCTGGATGATGGCACTCTGGCAGGTACTGAAGAGTCCCTGGTAGAGGATCTACAACTGGTGAAAACACAGGGAGAAGACATGGGACTCATCCTCAATCCCTCCAAGTGTGAAATCATCATGGCGAACCAGGAAATAATCAATGCTGTGCGAAGAATTCTTCCAGAAGTCTCTACTACCACTCCGTCCAACAGTACCCTCTTGGGAGCACCGCTGAGTCACCAGGCCATCGACACAGTCCTCAAGGACAAATTGAATGACCTGATGAGAATGGAGGAGAGAATAAGCAATCTTGATGCCCATGATGCTCTGTATATCCTCACAAGGTGCCTTACTATTCCAAGACTCACTTACTTCCTCAGGTGTGCACCCTCTTTTGACAACCCAACACTTGACGAATATGACGCACACCTGAGGTCACCCCTTAAGAAGGCACTGAACCTGTCACTAGAGGATCAGCAATGGGATCAGGCAACCCTCCCAGTACGACTGGGAGGTATAGGGGTGCGCAAAGCAACACATGTTGCTTTACCTGCTTTTCTGTCTTCGTGTTTGGCTTCCAGTGCATTAGTCAAGAAGATTGTTCCCGAACGCTTGAGAGACATGGTAGGAGCTCAAGACCCCAGGTTTACTGAAGCAGCGATTTGGTGGGACACCCTTACAGATTCCTCCATTAGACCAGTTCCTCCCAAAGAACACAAACAGTCCCACTGGGACAAACCGATCATGGAAAAAATCGCCAACACAATGCTCTCCAACGCCTCAGGAAAGGACAAAGCTCGTCTCCTGGCAGTGAAGGCACCACACTCAGGAGATTTCCTGTTTGCTCGACTAGACCCACAGGCCATTCGGATTGGTGCTGCTCTTCGCCTAGCCGCCCCCATTTAAATGGATGAATAATAGGCTGAAATATCTACTAGGGCATAAGAAAGGAATTTATAGGCGTATCAAAAGAGGCGAGGGTCATCTTATGAATCAGTATATTGACATTAAGAGGGACATTAAAAAGGGGATAAGAAAAGCTAAAAGGGACTATGAAATTAAAGTTGCTAGGGATTCTAAAACTAACCCAAAAAGTTTTTTCCAGGTCTATAGAACAAAAGTCAGAGATAAGATAGGTCCCCTTAAAAATAACTATGGGCATCTTACTGACAAAGAGAATGAAATGTGCTCGATTTTAAATAATTATTTTCTCTCGGTTTTTACACAGGAAGACACTAATAATATTCCGGTAATTAATTTTTATAGTGGATCAGAAGAAGATAAATTATGTAACATCACAGTCACTAGTGAAATGGTTGTGAAGCAGATAGACCGACTGAAGCAAAATAAGTCACCGGTCCTGATGAGGTTTTTTCAAGGGTTCTTAAGGAATGCAAAATGGAAGTCTGTGAACCATTAACTAATATTTTTAATTTATCTCTTTAAACAGGTGTAGTGTCTGATATGTGGAAGATGGCTAATGTAATTCCTATTTTTAAAACAGGGGACAAGTCGTTACCGTCAAATTACCGCCCAATAAAGCCTGACCTCAATTGTAGGCAAATTACTAGAGTCAATTATAGCTGAGATTACAAGAAGCCATCTCGATAAGCATAGCTTGATTAATGACACTCAGCATGGATTCACAAGAGGCCGGTCTTGTCTAACAAATTTATTAACTTTCTTCAGTAAAGCTTTTGAGGCTGTTGACCACGATAAAGAATTTGATATTATTTACTTAGATTTTAGTAAGGCATTTGATAGAGTTCCGCACCAAAGACTGTTGAAGAAAGTAGCAGCTCATGGCATTGGGGGAATGGTGCTCTCGTGGATCAAATCATGGCTCACAGACAGGAAGCAGAGAGTGTCCATAAATGGGGTTAAATCCGAGTGGGGATCAGTAACAAGTGGCGTTCCACAGGGATCAGTCTTGGGCCCGTTGTTGTTTATAATATATATCAATGATCTTGATGAAGGAATTACTAGTGATATGAGCAAATTCGCCGATGACACGAAGATAGGTAGGATAATTGATTCAAACGTAGATGTTAGGGAACTTCAGGAGGATTTAGACAAACTCTACTCTTGGTCAGAAAAGTGGCAGATGCAATTCAATGTAGATAAATGCAAGGTTCTGAAGCTCGGGAGTGTCCATAACCCTAGCACTATATAAGTTAAATAATGTAGAACTTAACCATACAGATTGCGAAAAGGACTTGGGGGTTATGGTAAGCAGCAGCCTTAAACCAAGACAGCAATGCCTAAGCGTACGTAATAAGGCAAATAGATTACTGGGATTTATAATCAAGAAGTGTAAGCAACAGAAGTCCAGAGGTCATACTGCAGCTTTATACATCATTAGTAAGGCCTCACCTAGATTATGCAGCTCAATTCTGGTCTCCATATTACAGAATGGACATAAATTCGTTAGAAAACATTCAGCGTAGGATGACTAAATTAATACATAGCATTAGAAATCTTCCTTATGAAGAAAGATTGAAGACTCTTAAGTTACATTCACTTGTTAGACGAAGAATGAGGGGAGACCTGATCGAAGTGTAAAAGTGGAAGATAGGTATTAATAAAGGGG